TCAGGATAAATCCTGAGGGGATTTCACTGACCTTATCAGACCCAAAAGCTACAACTCTTGTTGCATAGGTCTTGCTTTACCTTGGTCATAATCATCCAGCAGAAAAGTATAAAAACAAAGTATAAGAAGTAAAGCCATGCTGTTATGTTGAGCTGTAGAGGACTCAGGTCAACAATTTCTGACATTGCCAGTGAGGCAGAAGACCCAATGTTATTATGGACTACTGAACTCTTTTAGAATATTTTGCTGAGTTAACACACCTATAATATTCAAAGAACGGAACTTAACAAAAAAAAAAGGGTACACACCCTGGCCCTTGGTGTTGGGGATGTGAGGTAACAGGCCTGAGACTGTAGGTTTAAGAAATTCTTAAAGTGGGTAGAATCTCAATGATATGTTAAAAACCCTGCTGTGTCCTTTAACTGCCATAGTTCAGTTACCTGGGTCGGTCTCTGCTGTGAAGTCACCGCAACCCCCACTCTTGGACGTCCCTGGCAGCAGTGACAGCTCTTCTGTTGGCAAGGCCACAAAGCCCAGGTTTCTTTGTGCCTCCAGCTGTATGTCTTCTCTCTCAACTCAGTTTTAAAAGTTCAGTTTATTTCAGTGTCCCCGCTGTCATGAGACAGCAGGCCCCATAGGGGGACTCCTGGCCACATGGCCCCCCACTGGCTCCCGGGCAGAACGCCCCATGCACCAGGGCTACTAAACATTTTCTGTAGATAGAAAGCTGTGGCAGACCAATCAGCCCCATCCGCAGTTATATTCCTGCCCACAGTCATGAAGGAAAGCCACTTCCAAGGGGCCTCAAAGGAGAGCACCTGGCTTAGTTTCAAGGCTTTTCTGTCAACTTGTTCAGTCATCTGAGTGCCTTAAGTGCACGAAGACCTGCTCCCTCACTGATCAAGATGTAGTACAACTGTCCCCTGCTATCCATGGGGATGAACCGGTTCATGGATCTCCCTCTGACCCCAACACTTATGGGTGCCCAAGCACCTGACATAAAACGGCATAATGTTCACATGTAGGGCCAGGTAGATGGCTCGGTGGTATAAGCACCTACCTGGCCAGCGTAAGGTCCTGAGTTTAATCCCCAGTACTGTAAAAAGTAATATTAATAATAATAATATTCACATGTAACCTAGTCATTTCTTCCCATATACTTTAAATTATGTCTGGATCCATTATAATGTCTCATATATAAGTGCTATATGAATTGATGTTAAACACTATGGTGCAGGGAATATAGACATAAAGTCTCTATGTTACATACAAAAAAAAAGGGGGGATACAGATGAATGTCCATTTTGTATCTGTGTATTCAAAGTGGTTAGGATAGATATATAGTTACATTCTCTTAATGAATAGAGAGATTTGTTCTAATGGTGTTTGTAAACAGGATATCATGTCCACGTCTTGTACAGCAATTAACCACTA